ATCCAATCATTAGATCACGAGAATTTTGGTTATGAAAATTCCTCCGAGGGGGTGCTTATTATCGGTAAAATACGGTATATCTTTTGTTCCAGCAAAAAAGGCAAATACTCCAGTATCAATTGATTTTTTAAAATTTTCATAACATTCTTGTAACTTCAAAATAGTTCCTTGGCGAGTATTTAAAAAAATTTGCTTGCTTTCTAAGAAAATAATTGTTTTTTCAATTATTTCTTTTTCTTTTTGTATAGCTGTATTATGGCTATTAGATAAATTTGATTGATTATTTCTCGCTCTTATAAGAAGTAAAGCATTCTTAACAGCATTTTTATTAGAATTATCAATTATCATTTGCAATTCTTCATTTAAATAGGCAAATTCATTTTCAAAAAAATCTTGACTCTTAAATTCTGTTATTACTTTGTCTGAATTATTTATTGTTTTCTCATCTACCTGTAGTTGATTAATATTAAAATATCTCTTTTTTAAAAGTTTGCTTTTAATTAATGGTAATTCATAAATAATTTTTTCTAATTCAGTTTCTAATTGGTTAAATTCACCTTGTAAATAAAGTAAATTGTCTATTTCTTCAGCTGATGGAATTTTTTTGGTTACTTCCTCTCTTAATCCGTTTATCTCCTTTTGTTTTTCTCGAAAAGACTCAATAAGTGTTAGATAGTAAAGACTCTGTTCTATCAATACATAATTTTTTTTCCTTAAATCGATCAACTCTTCTTCTTTCTTACTTAAAAGGTTTTGTAAATTAACAATTTGATTTTTTAGATCAGCTATTTGCCTTTCCAGTTGCGTTTTTTCTTCTTTACTAATTGAAGGATTTTTAGATTCTTGCTCTTTGGTTATAATTTCATTTTGTTTACATGTAATTAACATTTCGAAGTCATTTATTGATTGTTCATCTTTTGTTAAAATCTCTTCTATCCGTTCGGATTGTTTGGAAAGGCTTGTAATTTGTTTTAGAGGGTCATTTAGTTGTTTTTGAAGATTTTCTTCATATAGCTCTTGACTAGCAATGATTTCTTTATTTTCTTGTGATGTTTCTTTATCTTTTGCAATTTCTTCCTTTGTCTCTGGTGTCTTTTCCTTCTCTTCAAGTAGAATTCTATAAATGCTACCTTTTGTATGCTTTTGAAATTTAGTAGCAGCATCATCTGGGGAGACTTCAATTCCATTTGTATCGATAGTAATATTTTTGGGTTCAGTTTCAGTAGTAGTAATATCAGTAGTAACCTCATTAATAGGAATTGCAGTAGTAGCAGTCTCAGTAGTATGAATTGCAGTAGTAGCAGTCTCAGTAGTAGGAATTTCAATAGTAGAAGTCGATACATAATCCAACCAGGTAATAGTAGAAGTATCAGGAAACTTTCTGGATCGAGGGAAGGGAAATAGAGATTTACGTTTACCATCTTGTTTCCTTTGTTTCTCGTCACCATCAGAAAGCAAATTAAAATCTGAAGTTACACCTCCATCCTTAGAAACAATGAACTGTTTAGTTACTAAAAATATAATTTAAAAAAAAATACAACGTTAAACGTTAATTTATAAGAATAGAATATAAACGAACACTTTCACGCCGTTATATAGCATACTTAGCATACATAATTGTGTAAAATACATAAAGGGACCTACCGAGTTGATAATAAATATCCTTGTATCCATCACTAGTGTAAATACCATCGAGATTTTCAGCTTCTTTAACCTTAATTTTAATGGTATGTACCCAACATTTCTTAGATTCTTCGCTGTATGCTTCCACCAAATATTCTTTGCCATCTACAGTAAGTATTTTGAATTTGTTTGTATTGATATCCTGACATGTAACTCCTTTTAATTTGATAATGCCTGATGGTATTCGTTTTTTTGTATTGTCTTCATTCTTGTAATAAAACAGAAGACCTTTGCCCGTTTGAATAGCGTGAGCAATGTTGCAGAAAAATATCTTGTTATTTTCTTCGAATTGATTTGGGGTTGATTCTTCTCTTTCTCATCTTTGTTTTCAGAAGCATCAGGTGCAGGAGTATCGCTTTTCTCAGCTGACAATTTTGTGAAAGGAGCTTTTATAGGCACATCTTTTACGTTTTTCTTGTAATATAAACTAAAATTTTTTTTAGGAATAGGATCTTCATCGAATTTAAAGTATCGTTGATTTCTACCCCCAAAAATATAACCGTGCTTATACAACCAGCCCCCAGAGATAGGTTTATCTTCATAATTGGTCCCATTTTCTTTAACTGGTTCTATAGTTTCTGTACTTAAAATTGGTTCAGTTTTCTCGATTTGTATTTCTGAATTAGTAAGATCGGACATTATTGAATTTTACTGAGTGATATTAGTGTATGAGAAAAAGCAATAACTCGAGAGAAAAAGGAGCTTATTACCAGGCAAGAAATGGGTTTCTTTCGTATGAAAAAAAAGCGTAGAGTTGTTTTATTAAATTATTATATATATTTATAATAATTAATAAAAATAAGAATAGAAAAGATAAAAGATATGACGAGAAAAGAAATATCGATAGTAAAAAAAAACCATTGAGTAACACACCAGTGTCGTGTCCAATTTACTTATTTGCGCCGATAACACAAACCAAAAAAGGAAATCAAAATTTGTAAATAAACTAAGTGCGTAAAAATTAAAGTTTAGGATTAGGACGTTATGGTGAGCTTTAGCTATAAGTTGGAGCTTCTTATATGTAAAATTTCATCTCCAGTATTTTCGTTTTCTTTTCTTTTTTTCTTCTTTCGCACGTGTTCGGATTCTATGTCAGGCTGATCCGAATACCCGAAATTTGTGCTCTCTGATTGGCCATTTCCTTATAGAGGTTTGTACTAAGTGGATGCAGTGTGTGTCAATTTAAACAGCTAAATGTATTGTGGTCGTTATCACCTGACCTCATGGTCACTAATTAGGATTATGTCTGCGAATTTGAAGTTAATTATGCGATGGTGCGAATATTTTGGTATATGGTTTTTATAGTAATACCTACCGTTGAAAAAAATCCGAAATTTTTTTTGTTCTTTGAGAACATAAATTAGTAATTTATAATATAATAATAATAATAATTTCAATCTTATTATTATTATTTATATATAAATTATTTTTATTGATCTGATAATATTAAATTTTGTTAATTTTAAATCACTATTAAGTGGAATTTGAATTCTCTATCCAACCGAGTCAGTTTAAGATTCCGTTGCAACACAAGTTTAGATTCGAAATCCACAAAAATTTGATTTCTACGTACAACAATATGGCAATTCGCAATACGTCATTATCTTGATATAGTTACGGTAATAAGTTTATGACTTCAAAATTTTAATTATGGCCATAATGCCGAAATTTACGTTGACATCCATATATAAATATAAGATCAGCCAGTATGTAAATAATTGATAGAGAAGTTATTTAGAAATAATAAGCTAAATTTTCTGAATTTTGAATATAGCCTACTGGTTTACTGGTTTCTGGTTTTATCGCAACAGCGTTGCACAGCTACCTTATAGCAGGCAGTGCGATGATAACATGATTTTACTAATTATCAATAATTTGATCGTGTTGTTTTATTTAATTTAGTAGTATTTTAAATTTACTCATTTCTTAATGAAACAGAATTAAGCACATAAGTTGCTGTACAATTACAAAATTTAGATAATCAACCAATTTATTGGTAAGGCCGCTTGCAATTAAATCTTCGGTTAATATCACTTTCTATAATTCCTGGCGGAGGAAGGGGAATTGAAACGAACAAATAAAATGAACAAACTATTTTAGATAGCAAATCTATTATGACGAATTTACTTCAGTTAAAGCTTAGTCTAGAGATTTAGTTGAGTTACTCGGAGATAATTAGTTAGCTAATATCAATCTTTTGACTTGAGTGAACGAGTGAACTTACATTTGTTGCATGGACCAATTCCATTGGTCGATATAAATCATGGGATTAAAGATAACTGCCCTGCATTATGATTGGTTGTTTAATTTTGGGGCTATGGAAGATTATGTTAACCGAAGTTTAGGCAGTTTACAATTGAAACCTCGTTTAACGTTATTTTTTCGTATTTACAGGGAGGGAGGGGTGAAAATTAAACATAGTGTACCGAGAAATCCCGGACATAAGCCGAAAAATCCCGGCTGCTATGCTGGCTATTATATCGATCAAACTTTCATTTCTATTTGTTTGATTTTGGGGGGAAGCCCAGGGGATAACGTTAAACGAAGTTTCAACTTCAAACGGCCTTATGGCCAATATATCGAGTAGTTTTTTTATAACTGAAAAGGTCAAAAGCTTTGATCTTGTCATGACCTGACATTGCACCTAATTACGGCCTTATCGGTCTTCAGAATTTTCAAGAATGAATTTTCGATTTCCTCACTATCAAATAACAAATTTTTAGAATTCTCAACATTAGAAAAAGGTACAGTAGATTTTCAAACCTTCGATATCAGAAGAAGTGGATTAGATTTGATTTCTTCAATTTAGGCATAGAACACAGACTCGAGATGGTTTTGGGTCGAATGATTAAATTGGCAATCGGAATTATATGGTAAAGTTGACCTAATTTCGTGGGATGAATTGTATGGAATGTTTCTTGAAATTGATGAGCGATTATTTTTTTTAAAAAAAGAATGCTTTATTATTTTGATTATTAATATCTATATCATTGTTGTTTTGATTAATGTAACGTTATAAATTCGAATATACATGTAGATAATGGTTATTTCAGAAGCTTTACTGTCATAGGAGGACATTCGTCTGATTGGCTGGTGTAAATCAATTGCCCGGGTAACTTATTTATGCACTTTAAAGTACTTTTTGGGAACACAACGTTTCACTAATAAAAA